AAGTTGGAAGGGACCTTGGAGGTCATCGAGTCCAACCCCCTGCCCAGGCAGGAACCCTACACCATTTCAGACAAACGGCTGTCCAGTCTCTTCTTAAAAACTTCCAGTGTTGGAGCATTCACCACTTCTGGAGGCAGATTGTTCCATTGGTTAATTGTTCTAACTGTCAGGAAGTTTCTCCTTAGTTCTAAGTTGCTTCCTTCCCCAAGCTCTGGAAATCATTCTGCACAGAGAGTACATCTTTTTGGGACAGATCGTTAGTGCCAAGATGTACAATAGCCTCCACATCACAGCCCTTGCTGCCATTCTTAATTATTTTAGAAATACGTTTCTTGTCCCTACTGACAGTAGCACCTGGAAGATACCTGACCTCTTTCGAAGCCTCTGTGTCCTTTCCTAAATTTACATCCCTTATAATTGAATCACCTACCAGAAGGTAGCTTCTCTTTTTGGATGCCTTTCTGTTCTTGCATGACTGATGTGTAGTAGCTGATTCACACCTCTCCCTGTCGAAATCTAGTTGCAGAAATGTCTTTTTCCTTAGCAGTTTCCCTCTTCAAAATAGACCAATTAAAAAAGACCAGGCAAAAAATTCTATGATATCATTTGATATGTTTTGGTTTTCAGACTTGTCGATATCCGTGCTGTGATGCTGCAACGTGTAAACTACACTCATGGGTAAAGTGTGAATCTGGAGAGTGTTGCGACCAGTGCAGAGTAAGACTTGTTTATTTTTAACACCAGGAGAAATTTTACCCTACTCCATACTAGCCATATAGAAATGTAATATCTCTTGGCTGTTTACTATGATCAAAACATTTCAAACCTATTCCTATCCCTTCTTTCAGTTTATTTGACCCTTATGAACATATCCATAGGTAGGGTAATTTAATAAAATTTCAGTCTTATCTCAATCTCAAATGCATTCTTTCAGCATGTTAAATCATATCTGTGAAAATAATATCTTTGTTCTTTGACTGAGATTGCATGGAAACCTAGTTTAAACTAGGAGAGGCAATGTTTGAGATTGGTGCCCTAACTGAGCTTCCTAACTTTCTGGAAGCTTCTAAGAGGTCTCCGGTAATGCTGTGACATTTTTCTCTCTGAGCCTTTTAGGATGGAAATAGATGCAGGAGACTTCTGGAAGGAAAGTTGCCCTTTTTCCCCCTTAAGTTCTCTACCTGCTCTCTAAAGCTCCAAATTCAGGTGTTTTGGTGGAGCATTCTGGAGGTGCTGCAGGACCAATGAAAGAAAGGTGATAGTTCCTCATTCCTTCTTTTTATGTGGGATCCCAGTTGACTCTGTAATGAACCTTTTGAGCAGAGTGGCCCAAAACATTTTGTTATTTGCATATTTCCATCACAAGCCTAGATTCACAGCAGGAGAAGGGAGCCACATGTTTTTCAGCACGTGACAGAAAATTCTATGAATGCTTCTTCCCCTGTAGAGAAATAAAAATATATCATGAGAAAGTTCAACAATTTACTTTTTGCTGATTTTTCATGGCAGCCCAACTGATTTTCCCTTTATGGTCGGCCAACAGGTAGAACTTGTCTTTCAGGAATTGAGCCTTTCATTGCAATCATTTTCCCACAGCAAATAAGACAGATTGGGACTTCTAGGCACCACACACAGTTGTAGCAGGGCAGGGATGCCTTGCTTGGTGATCCTCAAGACAGATGAAGAGGAGGATTTGAAATGTGTTTTGAACCATGGTTTGACTCTTTGATCTCTGCTTCTGAAGAGTGATAGCTGGGAGTATTTTTGATTCTCACCCACAGTTTAGGACAGCAGGAACAGAATGCCGGGCAGCAGAGAGTGAATGTGACATTCCTGAAAGCTGCACTGGCCAATCTGCTGACTGTCCCACAGATCGCTTCCATAAGAATGGACTACCATGCCTATACAACTACGGTTACTGCTACAATGGGAAGTGCCCCGTCATGTTTTACCAATGTTATTTTCTCTTTGGTTCAAGTAAGTCAACTTTAGAATTTCAGAATAGTGGTGTTATAAAAGATTAAGACAGTCATTGCCATTAATGAAAGATATTTTCTTTTTTGTAACCATAGTTAATCATCATTACATTTCTGTTTTATAACTGAGTTTGAAGGAACCTTGGAGGTCTTCTAGTCCAACTCCCTGCTCAAGCAGGAAGCCTTATACCATTTCCAATCTCTTCTTACAACTTCTAAGGGTTTTCTTTCTAGAATCTCAGCATCTCAACATCATTCAACTGGAATGAAGTGTGGTCTTCCCAAAGTATTGTAAAGTGGTACTAACACTTCACATGATCTTGATTTTATCCCTCTGTTAATCTAGCCTAGGATTGTGTTAGATCTTTGGCAGTTGCAGTACACTGATGGTGTGTATTTAAGTGGTTGTCCACTAGGACTCCAAGATCCCTCTTACAGTTAAAGTATTGAGCCAGGTATCACCCATTCTGTATCTGTGATTTGGTTTTTCTCGCCTAAATATAGAACTTTTTTTTTACTATTTTCACCATTGAATTAATTTTGTTAGATAGGATCTAGTGTTGAAGTCTCTCGAGATCCTCCTGGATCTTTAGCCTCTCTTCTGGAGGGATGGCTATTCCCGCCAGCTTGGCGTTGTCTGTAAATTTGATGAGTTGCCCTTCTGTCCCCTTGTCTACATTTTTTATGAAGGGTCAGATGGCATGTGATGGTGATTGGGAATCCAAATTGAAATCAGAACATTGTTTCACTTGCATGATCAATCCATCAATTTGATTAATAAATAAATGGACGCTTGCTGGATTATTTCCATTGCTTTGAAAATGGAAACTCTCAGTTCAAACAAAGAAATCTTTATTTTGGTCAGTTAAATAGCATAAAATGATGTAACATTCCAAAGAATGGAAATAGCTCACTCTTTTGCAAGTAATCCAGCTATATTCAGAAAGGCTTATGCCCAGGAATTGACAGGCCTCAAACCAAGAATGACACATGATGGTTCTTACAAGCTGAGTTCTTTCTTCTTTCATTCCTGTAGACAAAATCTTGCTGGATTAAGGACTCTACTATCCGCATCTACAATACACTCTGTGGATAATTAGGGAGGAGCTGTCTTCGCCCTCTTTCTCTCACATGTAATATTGGGGCTGAATTGCCTCTTATTCATCCTGACTGCACCCCCTCCCACCCAGGGATCCCCCTCCTCACTGCATTGCAGCACAGGAATGTATCTACAATAGTGTTAAACTTGGAAAATGGAGAATGAGGACACAGAGGAATGAAGCTGCACTCAGATTCCCCTCCAGTCATTGATTTACTACAGGGTCTTCTGCAACTTGCATAAAGTGGCTTCAGCTTTTATGTCCATAAAATGAAATAAGCCTGTTTAGTGTAGTACTGTATCAGACAGAGAATGATTCAGTCAAAATGAGGATTAGATAAAAAATGGATTACAAAATAATAGATTACAAATAAGTAAATATTAACTAGCAAATAATAAGCAAATAATCTCTCCTCTGAAATCTCTTAAGCCATTCTTTACCCAGTTGGCATGTTACACACTCAGGTATTTGTCTTGCAGATGCAACTGAGGCTCATGATGGTTGTTTTGATGTTAATGAAATAGGAAATGAATCTTACCACTGCAGAAAGGAAAATGAGAAATACATTGCATGTGCACGAAAGTAAGCAATCTAAATTATTTCCTGCTATGATGATGATATAAAACAGACATGTCAAACACAAGGCCCGGGGGCCAGATGTGGCCTGCGAAGTGCTTTCATGTGGCCCGCGATGCCATTCTGGAAACAGTGAGGCTGGCCGGGAGCCAATGTACAATTTTGTGGTAGCCATCTATGCTGAAACGCATTCAATCTTAGCTCCACAAGGCCGTCTAGAAACGGCGAGGAACTAGCCCCTGCTGCATCGGCCCGGCCTACTGGGTGCATGCTGGGGAGGTGTCACCCTTTGTGAGGAGTTAAGAAATGGACCATGTTTTGGCGTTTGCCCTGGTCCCACCTCCTGCCAGAGACCCTCAGATCTGTCCCACTCCTGCCCAGGCCCCCACAGGCACCCTTGACACGAACGATGTAGAGCTGGCAATGTGCACCCAGTAGGCCACACCCACTCCATCCATGCCCACCCAGTAGGCTGCACCCAGCCCAGCCCCCGAGGGCAACCGCAATACTGATGCGGCCCTCCATGAAATTGAGTTTGACACCCCTGGTATAAAATAAGGATAATATAAGAAATATTTTTGTGTCCACATCTGTTGGAACATGATTCTATCACCTGGCTAAAAGAACAGAAATGTGAGTCAATTTCTGAATGGCTAATTTTCCTTTGTTTTCCATGTTGCGTTACAAGGTGGAACAAAAGCTGGGTGTAAAAGGAGTGCCATGAGGATAGAAGTGCCTTTTAAAAGATTGTGTCAGAAAGGAGAGATACTCCTTGACTTACAACTATTCATTTAATGACTTCAAAGAACTGACACACAACTAGTCCTTGCACTTACAATTGTTGCAGCATGTGAGTCATGTGAGCAAAATTTGGGTGCTTGGCGACCAACATTTATTTATGAGGGCTGCAGTGTCCCAAGGTCACATGATCACCATTTCCGACCTTCCCAGCCAGATTCTAATAAATCAAAGTCAATGGGGGAAGTCAGATTTGCTTATCCCAAAGATGCTTTTTCACGAAGCAACTGGACTTTCTTGTTTTTCTTTGAAGATGTTTCACTTCTCATCCAAGAAGCTTATTCAGCTCTGAGTGGATGGTGAGGAATGGAAAGATTTATACTCCTGCTAACAGCTAGTCATTTGCATTCTTTTAGTGAGTCATTAAAGCTACCTGGAGGCTTATCTGTGTCTTCGGGGTCACCTGAGTAGCCCAAATGGGTGTGGAGCCTTCTTGGAACTGTTGAAAGGACTGTGTTGTAGACCTGAGGTAGATAATGTCAGATCCCTCCCCCCCGTTGAGAAAGGGCTGTTCATTTTTGACATAGATGGCCTCTTTGACCCCTCTTTCAAACCAGCAATCCTCTCTGTCCAAAATGTGGACTTTGCTGTCTTTGAAAGAGTGTCCTTTGTTTTTTAAATGCAGATGGACTGCTGACTCTTGTCCTGATTTGTTCTCCTATGTTGTGCCATATGTGTATGAAGTTGTTGTTTCGTTTCCCCAATGTACAGATCTGCACATAGCTCACTGCACTGTACTGCATACACCACGTTGCTCATTTTGTGTCTGGGTGTTTTATCCTTGGGATGGACAAGCTTCTGTCTTAGTGAATTCTTAAGTTTGAAGTTTGCACGTATGTTGTGTTGGCTGAAGATCCTTCTGAGTTTTTCCGATATTCCTGCAACTTATGGAATGACTACATTGCTTTGTTTATTGTTTTCTTTGTTTGTTACAGAGGAGCTCCTGTAGGTCTTCTTTGAGATTTGATGAAGGCCCACTTGGGAGAGTCACATGTTCTGAGGGCTTCTTTTTCTTTTCCTTCTTTGCAGCTGGGCAGGCCTTCAGCTCTGTGGTGTAGGGTTCTGATAACTCCCATTTTGTGCTCCAGTGGGTGGTGTGAATCAAAATGTACATACTGATCTGTGTGAGTGGGTTTTCTGTAAATTTCAGTGTTAAGGCTTTTCTCTTCCTTAAAGTATGCAGCACAGTCCAAGAAGGCTAGACTATTTTCCTTAACATCTTCACGTGTGAATTTGATGTATCTGTCCACTGAGTTGATATGTTGGTGAATGCTTCCAATTCCTGTGTTTTGATCTTGACCCAAGTATCGTCCATATACCTATACCAGTGAGTGGGTGGAATTCCTGTGAAAAAGTTTGGAGCTTTGGTTTCTACCTCTTCCATGTAGAGATTGGCCACAATGGGGGACACAGGTGAGTCCATGGCAAAGCCGTGTTTTTGTCTGTAGAAACCTATATTGAAAATAGATACTGATCAGGCAGAGGTCCAGCGTCCAGTTTTATTTTACATATGTTACTGGCAAAGTCACGTGAATTATTGATGTGATGAGGAGCCATTATGTTAGTTAGATATTTTGCAATGTTGTAGGTGATAATTGTTCTGAGTGGTGTTCGTTCTTTGTGGATTTTGGGGAGTCCATATATGCATGTCAGGGCTTCCCCAGGATAAAGACGGTAGTATTGTGGCTTGTCGATGGCATTATCCATTAGTAATTGTTGCAAGAAATCAATGAACTTTTTCTTGTAACTAATGATGGGATCTCTCTTCAGAGTCTCATAGCTGGCAGTGTCCTTCGGAAGACTGTTCACCTTGGCCTTGTAGTCATCTGTGTTCAGGATGACTGTGCATCTTCTTTTATCAGCTGGCAAGATGGTGATGTTTGGGTCTCTTCCTAGGGATGTCACTGTTCTCCATTCTTGAATTGTGAGGTTGGAAGGGGGGACAGTCCTCCTTTTGTGAGTTCTGTCCTCCTTTGAAAAGTGTCCTCCTACATGTCCTCCTTTTCGATATTTGAAGACTAATCTGCAGGGCTTTTTTTTTCTCATAGAACGCTCAGAATGGCATTCCGGCACCTTTTTTTGATGGTTTTTTTTTTCAACTTTTGCATGAGCTGTGCTACTCCCCCTATTGGCTTTCGAAAGCCAATAGGAATTGCTGCTGAGTGCGCCAAAACACCCAGCCGGCAAACTTTGCACATGTAAGTTGTCTGCAGCGAAGGCGAATTGGCAGGAACTTTGCACCCCTCCCTGCTACCCAATTACACCATCTCCTAGTTAGTCCCGAAGATACCTGGAGGAGACTGGAGCGGCGATGTCACAGTAACTTTCTCTTGATCTTCGGCCCTGCTAGGGCAATAATGGCTGCGGGTGCAAGAGGCAGGGGCGGCGGGGCTGCTGCGGGCGGGGGTGTGAGGGGCGGTGGTGGCCGGCTGCCCCCCGTGCTGTGGGAGCCGCGGGGCCCACTCTACAAGGCGGAGCAGCAGTGCTGGCAGGGCGGCTGTGGGCGGGGGCGCGGCATGTAAGCATAATTATAATATAAAATGTTATTGTTACAAATGTTTTTATTATGCATTTATGATATTATAGTGTATTCTGTATTATTGTTGCAATGAATAAAATGTTTCTTTTATTTACGATATTTTTTTCTTCAATTTATTTGTGTCCTCCTTTTCATTGTAAAAAAGTTGGTCACCTTAGTGTTTTGGCACTGGTGAGGGCTGCAAATACCATTTTTCTTAATTGTTCTGCTTCTGGTTCTGCCAGTTTATTGTTCCTGATGGCTGACTGTGACTGGGAGGAGTCACAGTGACTCAGAGGAGGACTGTGACTGGGAGGAAATATACAACTGGTAGATGTTCTGGTGTTACTGCAAAATCCAGTCCTTTGTCTACAAGATTATTTTCTCTTTGGGTAAGCTCTCTGTCAGACAGATTTTTCACCCATCGGTCAGTTTTCTAAGACATCTCAGTGTCTCAGTGGGTTGGTTCTTCTGTTTTGTGTGTTTTTTCCTGCCGAAGCTGTAGGGTGGAAAATTTGGGTTTTTGTCACACTTTGCTCTTGTTGTGTTGTGCTAGTTGTGCTTTCTTTGTAAATTCTATGACCTGTTCTAATACTTCTGTTGGTAGAAGTGATTTCGGCTCTTGGAGTTTGTGTTCCACTCTGTCTTTCAAAACCTCAGTTGTAAAATTACTCTGTCTTATTCTTTCATTTAGAAGTTGGAGCTGTGTTTTCTGCAGGATGTTTTCTGCCCTGTGTCCTTTCACTGCTGAACACAGGTGCAGGCTGTTGGGGATGAGTCTCTGTTGTCTGCATCTCAAACTCCCCGCCATCCAGTCAGAGTTGAAGACGCTTCTTGGATGAGAAACAGAACGTTTAGTCCAGTTGCCCCAATCTTTAGGTTTCAGCTCCCATCATCCCCTGTCATCCACTGATCAGAGATTATGAGAATTTTAAGCCAGAGATCTGGAAAAACCAAGCCCCCTAAAATCTACTTTAGGAGTTTTCCAGGTGGATAACAGATGCATTTCTTGCTCTTAAGATAAGAATCCTGACTCAACCATCTCCATCCTAAAAAAAACCAGAGAAATCACTGTGAGCCAGTTGGAGATATAGGAAGTGTTTTCTCTATTTTGTTCCAAATCTTGAAACACCTTGTGAGATTTTTCAGTTATGTGTTAGGGGCAACTAGTTCCTACTGAGACTGAGCAAAGGTCTGGTTCTCCATCTCTAATTAAACACACACGCGCACACACACACGCGCGCGCGCGCGCACACACACACACACACACAGGTTAACCAAGATCAAGATTGTTGGCAGAGTCACTCATGCCCTGTTCCCAGCTGGATTACTGCATAGGGCTGCCCTTGGAAGCTACAACTGGTACAGAAGGCAATGACGCTGAGAGTCCGGGAGGCCCTGGCGTGGAATATGTGACTCCATTGTTACACAAGCTGCACAGGTTGCCAGTGTGATTCTGGCAAATTCAAGGAGTTGATCATGACCTTTAAAACCCTTTATGCCATGGGTCCAGGGTATCAGTGGAACTGCCTTACCTTGTTGGGACTAACCTGCCCCAGTGCTTCCGTGGAAAGGGCCTGCTTCAGATTCTGCCAACCAAACACTTTTGGATGGTATGGTGCAGGAGAAAAGCCTTTTCTGCTGTGGCCCCCTTGGCAATATTTTCTTGTCAGGGGTGAGGTCTGCCCCAGAATTCTGGCCTCCTGGAACAGCCTATAAGCTTGGCTTTACCTGGGTCCCCAGCATGGGCCTGCTATGTTGGGGAGAGCTGACTGGGTAGAGATGATATTCTCACCCACAGACTGCCCTTCATCTTGATTTTTAATTTTTAACTTTTATTTTAATTATAATTCTTTTTAGCAATTTCTAACTATTTATTGTATTGTAAGTCACCCAAGACATGGGGGGGGGGGGCATGGGAAACAAACAAACAAACCAAATGCTTGGAAATAAGCAAAGGAATGGGCCTCTCATTACTCCATTCTTGTTTCCTTTTCAGGGATGTAAAGTGTGGCAGGTTATTTTGTAGTTATATTTATGATAGGTATCTCTGCCGTCACAGTGATAAAGATAATGGAATGGTTGATCATGGAACAAAATGTGAAGATGGAAAGGTTAGTAAAAGATTACCTCTAATCTGTATGCTGTAAAGTCTGATTCCAAGAGGTGATTACTAAATTTTTTTTGCAATCAATCAATGCTGAAAGCTGGTCTAGATTTTCCAAACTACAGTGAATCTAAGTAGATGAAAAAGTGTCCATCTAGCCTTCTTTTGGTTGTTGTTATTTTGTTTTTCCTTCAAAGAACAACCCCAACAAATGAGGTGAATGTCCAGGGCTGTTTCTTTCTTGCAAGAACAAAACGCCTGGCCTTCTCAGAGCCTTGTGCTTCTCTCTCGCAGCATCTTCTGGACAGACTGGCAAGAGACAGTCCTTTCTCTGAACTTGTAGGCATCTCCATTGGGAAGGTGGAAGAGAGAAATGAGAGAATCAGGACAGACCTGGTGGTGACCTAAAGGTTACCAGTTCAATGAATCTATTTAGAAGTGCTGAAGCAATCCCAAAGCTTATCTTAAAGGATCAGGAATCACTTCCCCTTGATTTTTATAACCTGAAAGAAGTTTGGGTTAGTTATAAGGAATGACAGACAGAGTTTGGTTGTGTAGAAAAGTGCTGTCTTACTCCATTGATCATCTCTTGCTTTGACTTTCAGGTCTGCAGCAACAGGCAGTGTGTTGATGTGAATGAAGCCTACAAATCAACCACTGGCTTCTCTCAGATTTGATTTTGGAGATTCTTCTTTCAGAAGGTTTCACTTCCCTCTAGTCCAAAGAGACCCATCTGCCTGCATCCTACTAGTAAATCACTCTTAGCTTCCAAATTCTGCAATATTTCTTCTCCATATTTAATGTGATTATATTTTGCTGTAATCAAACCTTTTTCCCGCCACAAAGCTCCATGGGCATGTACAACACCAAAGGCTTATTTGCTGTCAAGGAAAAAAAATGGCCATTTTACCATTTGCCAGTTACAAAGCACATTTAATACAACAAGTTCTGCCTTTTGAGTTGGTGTATTCAAAGTCAATGCTTCCTCTCCAAAAGTTTCATGCTGGCTTTCCAAGATGTAGCTGCTTCCATCAATAAACTTACTATTCTCATTCTGCATTTTGTAAAGACTCATCTTTCAAATCTGGTTTGCTGGAGTAAACCGCATCAAGAACTTGCATGCAATCCGGAGGTAAACCATTGGGTGAATTATCTACTGGCATTAAAGCAACATATTCACAGTTATTCAGAAAATATTTTTCTGGATAGTATTTTATCTCAGAAGGAGCCTCTAACTATAAATAAATCCACATATTGTAACACAGTTCCAAAAGTGCTTTTCAAAAGTTAGAAGGACCTTCTTGGGTTTTTTTCCCTTGAAAATCTTTCTCTTCTCAGCCAAGTGAAGAACTGCAGAAGCTTGGATAAGAAGCAAAACATTTTCTTTTCTAAAAAAAATATTTATTTTCATTTGTCAACACAAATAAAATAAAAAGAGAGAAACAGAAGAATGAACATCCAACACTAAGAGTGAAGAAAAAGGAAAAATAAAGTGTTGTTTTAATGTGTACAAAAAAAGGTGGGGAGACCTAAATGTTGAATATATCTAATATTGCAGGATTCAATCTGAGTCCGTCATCAGGACTAGAAGTTTCGTCTTCCAAGCTTCCAGTCTCATGCTGGAGCCCATCCTCAAAGCCCCTCTCTGTGTCCAGCATGAGTCCGAAAGGTCAGGAAACAAAATCTGGTCCTGGTGACTGACCCAGATTGGATCCTGCAACATTATCCTGGGACACGTATGTTCTCCTTCATTCTCTGACAAAAAAGGATATGGACATAGTTTTACTAGACTTCAATATAGCATTTGACAAAGTAGACCACAGCCTACTTCTTAGTAAGACTGAACAATGTGGGATAATCAATACCACCACTAGATGGATTCACAACTGACTGACAGCACGTAATTCTTAATGGAACTACATCTATATGGCTGGAAGTATGCAGTGGGCTACCCAAAATTCTGTCTTAAGCCCAGTACTCTTCAACATCTTCATAAGTGATCTAGATGAAAGAATAGAAGGGGAACTCATCAAATTTGCAGGCAACCTCAAGCTGGGTGTTATAGCCAACACTTTAGAAGATAAGCTCAAGATTCAGAATTATCACAACTGATTTGAATACTGGGCCCTGTCCAATAAAATGTAATTCAGTGGTCAGAAGAATAAGGTTTTACACATGGGCAAGAAAAACAAAATGCACAGATATAGACTAGGTGGAACCTGGCTCAATAGGAGCAATTGTGATTGAGACCTAGGTGTCCTAGTAGAACCGCCATGGAAGTATGAGCCAGCAGTGTGCTGCAGCTTCCAAAAAGGCTAATGAAGGGAAGGGAAGGGAAGGGAAGGGAAAGGAAGGGAAGAGAAAAGAGAAGAGAAGAGAAGAGAAGAGAAGAGAAGAGAAGAGAAGAGAAGAGAAGATGATAAGTTGGTTTGGAGGCTAAACCATATGATGAAAGAAGAGGGAACTGGGTATGTCCTGTCTAAGAAAGAGAAGGACTAGGGGTGATTTGATAGCAGCCTCCCAGTACTTGAGGGCCTGTCACAAAGAAGAAGGGGTCAATTTATTCTTCCAAGCACTGAAGGCAGGACAAGAAGTAACAAGTTGAAGAAGAGATTTAATCTAAAACTAAACAGAAATTTCCTGACAGCGAGAACAATTAATTAGTGGAACAATTTGCCTCTGGAAGTAGTGGGTGCACTACAGGTTTTCTTTTATATATTTTATTAGTTTATAGTATATGATATAAAGAAAATAACAAAGTAAATAGCGGGAAAGATAGGGAAGGGGAAAGGGAATAGAAAAGTAAAGGAAGGGAAGGGGGGAAAGGCAGTGACTTCTGACTTCTTTTGGTGAAGTAAAATAAAATATCAACATCAAACCTCAACTACTTACTTTTACAAAATCGTGTAAACTAGCCATTTTGATAACAACAAATCTATCAAATCGATAAAGCCTCAAGTCAAAATTTCATTTCTTTCCACCTCAAGCACAAAGTCCAGAACTGGTTCCCACATAGCAATAAAAGTATTCATATTGTTTTCTTTAATTAGTACAATCAATTTAATCATCTCTGCTAGCTCCGTCAGTTTTTGCAACCATTCCTCCATTGTGGGAATCGATGTGGTCTTCCATCTCTGAGCATAGAGCAGGGGTGTCAAACATATCACAACATCTTTGTCATTGCTGGCAATGGTGAGGGCATGATTTCACTATGTTGCATCTGGCCCACAGGCCAGCAATTTCACACCCCTGTCGTAGAGTGACTTTACTGCTGTCAACTTATATAACATCAAGGTTCCCTATTTTTTTCCAGGTCTTTGTCCATTAGCCCACAAAGAAAACTCTCTGGTTTTCTTTCCATATTCACTTTAAGAATTTTCTGTATTAACATATGAATCCTACTCCAATATTTTCTTGCTTTATCATACATCTACCATAAATGGTAAAACTCCCCTCTTTACATTTACATTTCCAACATTCATTTCAAAAGCCTTTATACATTTTTGATAACTTAACTGGTGTTAAATACCAATGTACATCATCTTGTAAAACTTTTCTTTTAACTAATAGTTTAATGTAAATTTTAATCTTTTATTCCACATATTCTCCCATTGTTCAAGCATTACATTATGCCAAAAATTCCTTGCCCACTGAATCATACAATGTTTACTTGTTCATTTTCCAGATTTAAATTCAATAACAATTTATAAACTTTAGCAATAATATGTTCATCACTACCACACAGTAGGATTTCCAATTCATTTTTAACAAAACTAAACCCATGATTCTTTTTGCCTAGATTAAATCTTTCTTTCAATTGCATATATGTGGACCAATGGCAGACATGACCTTCTGATTCTAGCTCCTCCTTGGATCTGAGGGTAGGCTCCCCCAAATTAAAATTAATTATTTCACCATAGGTCCACCAATTGGGCCTCATCACCATCTCTTTTCTAAAAAAGGTTTCTTGTGGGGAAACCCAAAATCGCACCTTTGTAGAAAACCTTGTTTTATATTTATTCCAGACTCTCAAAATGGCACATCTAACAAAATGATTGTTGAAATCAA